TCGACATAAGAAAATTCAACTTTTTAGAGATCCGCTTTAGAAACACCGAATACAGTAAATGAGCCTTCACAAAGCCATGTCAAAAAAAAGCAGAAGCTCACTTGATCAAATCCATAAGCAATGTTCGGCTGTTGGGTTGCCATATCCGCCCACGATCTGCACGTGGTTGTTACTCGAATTCTTTTTCTCCCATCAGCATGTTGATACTGTGTTACGAACTGTACCATTCCACGAGCTCCTTGTGCAATCGCTGATCCATGCTGAAAAGATGGGACTTCTGAAAGATGACTGGAAAGGGAAGTTCAAGCAGTAGGAAATCTATCACAGGGAAAAACTAAGGAGAATAGATAGCTAGCAGAAAAACAAACCAACTAAAATTTGAGAACTGTGCTCATAGGTACATGAATTATTGATAAAACTACCCGTTTTCTTTTGTAATTCAAAGCTTTTCTTGGACTTCTCTTACTTCCACATTATTTACATTTTTTAACAAATTAAACATCCTTTAGCTTTTCTTAGTAGGCTAATAGATCAAGAACACGTAACAGATTCAATCCTAACTACCCAGTTGAACGATAACATCTTATTATAGAAATACTGTAAGTCACTGCACACAGTTGGTTTTTTTCAAAAATCGCTGAATGTTAGTTTATTGAGGTTACACTGTATGCAAAATTTGCTTACGGTAGTGTACCAAGCAGCGGTTTAGAATAGCAATTCTGCACAATCACAGACCAAGATGGATATATTTGAACTCTACGTAGCAGATAATCTAGCTGTGCAAATTTTGAAATTTTTGAAACACTTCTTACTGCGCAATTCTGTACCTCTACCGCGCATTATAGGTACGTTATTCAGACAACCGTGTCTGAGAAAACCTTTATGTATATGCTATCGTCATGAAAGAAACTAGTATAAGGGAGCACACCTCCAGGTGTTAATCCCATAATTTAGAAACTAGATGGATATCATGTCTGAAAAAATTAGGCCAATCCATTCGATACAAGCAAATTACGACATGTTTAGTGTTTATTGTAAGCTTCCTATTCATGCTTCATTTTCTAATAAATGACAGGTCGCCAAAATAAATTAAACATTGACTTCGAATTATTCAACGTCTTTTGATGTCATAGAACTTACACTATCTGGCAACAATTCCCTACCAGATTAGTATGTTTCGCATCAACCATTGCCTCAAATGATGTAATGATTCTCTAAGTCTTA